TATGTTTATTAATCAATCTTTAATCGCATACAGCTTAGATCCTATCACCGTTGTAGTCTTGGCTCCGGAATAGTCGATTGTTACGGTGTTAGTAAAGACCCAAAAACGGGCAGTTATGTGATGGTGATGCGATATGCTGAACAAGGAAATTTACGTCATTATCTTTCCAAGTATTTTACTGACTTGTCATGGGACGAAAAAATTGTATTATTTGATCGTATCGGAAAAGCACTGAAAGGAATTCATGATTCTGGTTTGGTTCATCGTGATTTCCATAGGTATGAATAAACATTAAATAATAATATACATATGTATATATATATTTATTTGTATTTATTTATTTACATGTCAATATTTTATTACTTGAAAAAATTTAGTGGTAACATTCTGAGACACGAAAAGTTGGTCTACATCACTGATCTAGGGATGTGCCGTCCAGTGAATGAATCTAAAGATTCAAACTCTTATGGCGTGCTTCCGTACGTGGCACCAGAAGTGTTGAGGGGTGATCCATACACTGAAGCTGCTGACATATACAGTCTCGGAATGATAATGTGGGAGATGTCATCAAACGAGCCACCATTCGCCGATAGAGCTCATGATTATAAATTGGCTCGCGAAATTTGTTTAGGTTTAAGACCTCCTATTGTCTCCGGAACCCCGAAAGGTTATGTGGCCGCGATGCTTCGTTGCTGGGACTGTGACCCGTCTAAACGTCCAACCATTGATGAACTATTAAATATGTCATACAAATGGCGCTACCTGTCAGACGGAAAAGCTCCCTTCCAAGGTCCCAAGACAAAGAAAGTAAAGAGTGGTCACGTCAAGTCTGTACTTACCAATTCTAATACAGTGCACCCTCAAGCTTTCTACACTAGCAGATTACTGCATTATCCTAATTTACCAGAACCCAGAAACTCTGATCATTATACACTTTTTGATTCAACAACTGGTGAAATACACACGATAGTTAGAAAACAAAGTATGTATTTAATTTTGTATAATTTTGTATATTAGTAATCTACATTCAAATTGATTAACTGTATGCCTATCATGATAGGTTCCAAAAAAGACTCCGATAGATCTTCGTTTGTGCCAGATGAACTTTCATCGTTCGCCTCTTCTGATAAGGGCAAGGAAAAGGCCCAGGAAGAGTATCGTCCTCGCACCACTAGAAGGGAATCCATAACTAGGAGTATGACATTAAATAGTAAAATAGATAAAGATGCGATTGAGAGAATAAGATCCGAGCGTAAGAAATGTACGTAACTTATATTCATCTTATGTTAATTCATGATGTGCTTAATTAATTTACTAATCGTAATATCACATCACTTTTTATTAGTATCTCATTATCGATGGAACTCTACGATTAATGATATTCCTAGACAAGTGGAACTTTTAAGAATTGATGGTAATTTTGAGAGTCAAGATTCATGATTTTATTTGTGATTGATCAAAATCGCTTACCGTTCATTTTATTATCTTTGT